CCCCCCCCCCCCCCCCCCCCCAGTCATTTGAGGAAACTTTTCTTTTAGTCAATATAGAAACTACAAAGCATAGTTTTCTCTGGACGGTTTATACATATGTATATGGTGGCAGCCATCTTGGATTTTGACGTGGCAGATAGGCTTGATGTTTGATTTGCTTATAAAATTTTGGCTGTTAAACTATGAATTTTTGTGCAACAGTATTACTTTGAAGACGTCTTGCTTGTAAAAATGTATTTTCCCTGCTGGGTGAAATGTTTAATGCTGGTTCTGTCCCGTTTTAGATCCGTAAGCGTCTGATGGTGTCGGACAAAGGTCACCTGGAGTGGAAGAAGATGTACTTCAAGCTGAGCCGCTGCTGTCCTCTCAGAGAGCAGTACAGCGACACGCTGCACCTCTGCACGCACTGCCACATCCTCTTCTGGAAGGTACGCCGCCGCCGCCGCCTCGCTCCTCGTCTGAAACCGAGCGCTGAAAGCTGCGCTCAGATTGATAACGGCACTGTCTTTGTTTCTCAGGACACAAACCATCCGTGCACGGCCAACAACCCAGAAAGCTGCACAACCTCCCTCTCCCCACAAGACTTTATCAGTCTGTTCAACTTCTGAACCCCCCACCCCGCCCCATGGACTGACTGTACATACTGCTGCTGTACATAGGAGTGTTTCTGTTATTGTGTGGTTCTGGATGGACGCTGAGTTGCTGCGTGACAGGCAGTGGGACAACTATGCAATTTTTAAAAATAGTTTTATTTTTTGCAAGAACGGACGGTCCACGAAGAGAGATTCAAAAGTCACTGAATATGTGACGAAGATCTGAAGGGGACGTGGAAACACACGAGTTTAAGTTAAATGTCGGAAATGACAGCGGTTTTTCTTGTTCGGAGGATTTTTGGCAACTTTTTTATTTTTTGAGATTTAAGTAGGGAGCCTAAAATGGTGATATACCAGGTCTGAGCACAGTGGGGGAGGTGCAATATGTGTAGCAGAAATTATCTTTTTATATTCGTTTTTTTATTCCACTGCGGTGATGAAGTGAAATGAATGGAAGTAAAAGTAATTCACAGGAATATGGAGGATTTTTTTTTTTTTGGACACATTGTAATGTTTGGTTTTTGGTTTGTTTTTTCACTTTTATATGGATCTGTTTTCTTAAATTGTCTTTTTTTTAATAGCAGCACCTGAGTGTAGGATCACCTCAGATTGTAATTAAAGCCAGTACATTATTGGTGTGTGCCTTTATAGACTTGAAGCAACTCTGGTACAGTATGTGTCTCGTCTGCAACTCATTTTTACTTATTTATGTTTTCCCTTTTTTAACTTGCCATAAAGTGTCTGAGTTACAAAAGAGCTCTGATAGCAAAGCTGACTGTTGGAAGCATCTTAGTTTGCAAAAAATTAAAAAAAAAGTCTTGTTTTTGTTTTCTTACACAGCTTATTGTTTACTTATTTATTGAGATTTGGGCAGGTGGTTCATCTTACACGCCTGAGTTTGAACGAAAGCTGCAGTTTGGGTCTGGCGCTGCAGAACGATGCACGTGTTATTCAACGCAGTCTGTTTATGTTGAATAAAAAGACGAATCGTGTCGAAGAAGTTTGATGTTGCCTCTGCAGCTTCATGGTTTTTAATCGGACTGAGGTTCTCTGGAATTATCAGAAACTCCTGTTGGGGAGGAAGTAATGTACTGTACGGCTGAAGTGCTCCCTCTACCGGACAAATGATGAACTGCAGCGTTTTGAACTTCGTGGTGGCAGAGCTCACATTACATAAACATCTCCAGCAGAAACATGACATTTTTAGTTATTATTTTACACATTAATGGACAAAGTTAAAGAATAAACTAGAGCTTTACAAACTTTTTGAACGTAGGAAAACTTAGTTCAAGTGAATACCTTCATATTGATTTTCTTCTAACACAAGTTTTTATTTTAATAAATATTCAATAATAAGCGATCATTATAGTTCTAACAATGATGATTATAGTTCAGCTGCACTACAGTGCTGTCCTACTGTATGTACAGTACAGTTACCAATCAGTCTAACATGCATGTTTTTGGTCTGTGGGAGGAAACCGGAGTACGCGGAGAAAATTCACGCATGCACGGAGAGAACATGCAAATTCCACCCAGAAAGGCCCCTGGCCGGGATTTGAACCAGGGTAACGTGCTCGCTGAGAGGTGGCAGCTCTACCATCTGATCCACCGTGCTGCCTCTTATCATTTTAAAATTTATTTTAAGATCTTGCTGTTTGTTTTCAAGTCTTAGCACCTTCTTTTCTTTTAAGCAAGGGATCGGATGCTTTTAGAAGTGCCGAGGAGCAAACAAAATCTCTTTCAGACCATGAGATGATGAACACAAACACTTTAAAAAAAAATCTGCTTCAATTTTTTAAATTTGTTTTAGCAATTCTTTTCGTCATACTGTATTAGGTTAGCCTAACTAAAAACAAATAAAATGACACTTGTTTTTTTTTATGCAACACAACTAAAATTAGAGCAACACAACAACAATAATAAATAACATCTGTAGAAATATTCTGTAATTGTTAACTCTATGCAGAAAAAACATTTTAGCACATAGTGTGCACCGCGGCACATACAGTACTGCCCTGATCTTCAGGATATGTAGGTAGCTTCTATGGATCAGCACAATGTTTGGAAGCATGCTGTGCACAGAGGCATGACACTTTAAGGCCATATAAATGGATAAATATGCCCAACTTGAAGACCAGACGTTATTTTAACCAGCTGCCTCACAATCATCGTTCCTTTTCCATCAATCTGTTTATAAATCTGAGTTAAATTTAAAAAGAAAGTCACACCTTAAATGTGATTAAAAAAAACAATGTTCATGATGCAACTCCATCTTCTACTTATATTTCTTTCTTAAAGTGATTTTTGACTACTTTCATAATATACAATTAATATACCTTAATATGTTATTTGTCTATTCTACTAGAAACGTGTTGTTTGTGATGTGAAAAATCACAATTAGTTAAAAATTTATATATGTTTATTGCATTTTTCACGTAAGGATGTCGCCGTTATTTTACCGGCACAAGTCATTCTGAGGCAATGACATAATTCGGTTGTAGTGGAGACTAAAACACACGGAGTCAAGGCTAACAAGTTAACCAGACAATAAAATTATATTTAGTTTTAGGCCTTATGCACAATAGGTCAAACGATCGAAAGTTATCAACTTGTGATGGTTAATTTGGAGCTAACATCGTATATATTAACTTTAGAGTTAACGACCTATACATTAGCTCTGGAGCTAACGTGAAAGACGAGTCATTTCTCCATTCTCTTAATGTGCTCCATTTCAAATTAAAAGGCTGGACATGTCCAAAATGAACATTCAAGCTGAATGAAGCTCACACCAGAGCTACCCGTCTATGTCATTTACCCAGAATGCATTGCCACATAAATAAAAAGGTGACATCTGTGTGTGTCATTAATAAAAAAAATAAATAAATAAATAAACTAAACAGCCTAAGGTATATTTACAATCTGTTTAAGTAATTGTTTATCAAATAAGTTATATTGTTCCAGCTAGTCGGAGATCTCTTTAAGAAACCACCTCATCCTTCCTGTTTTCTCTGGTCTTCTCTGCACTTTATGCCCAGCAGACCAACATGAGGAGTAACATCTGTCTGGTTTGAATCCTCCCACTACGGCATAATTATTAAAAAATAAAAAGTTTGTCACACAACGTAAACATTAAACATCTGCACACCTCCCTGATCCGTTCTTATTCTTTATGTGACATTTCTAAACTGGAGATAAGCTAAAGCTTCAAACTAAATGTGCAGTAATGACATTCAAAGTATTGAAGTTACGATGAGCTGATGCAAGTCTCCTGTTTTGTCTTTACACCACATTTAAAAGTTATTGATTGCCGAGTTTTAGAAACTTGGCCCCACTACATGTTCCTCCATGACGCGTTGAGCCCAGATGAACTTCCTTTCGTGAGCTTCAGCGAGATGAGAGGTCCTGGTAGGTGAAACTCCTCCGTGCCGACCTGAAGATGCTGAAAGTCCTCAGCAGCCGAGTGCAGACGTGGAGCTCTGAGCCAAAACAACAAAGAAAAAGGACGTAGTGTGAGCTGCAACATATTTACGTTTAACATGTGAATTTTTTTAATGAAACATCTTGGTGTAAGTAAACTAAAGGAGAGCAGAGAGACATTACCGTTGTTAGTAGATGTCACAGAGGGGGACGTTGTCTCTCTCAGAGTTCTGAATCACCCACTCTATAGCATCCCAGCCCTGCAGATTCACACGGAGAACAAGATCAAACCCTGAGACCTGATGTCCAAAAACTGGACACACAGTCCTGACAGCTGCAGAGACAAACAGGCAGGTTTCTAGTTTGGATCAGAGTTCATCTTCAGGCAAACGTTTGGTCAAAATGTCTTCCTGTGAAGAGTTAAACAAACACATTGTTCTAAATTTTATCTAAAGTCAAATCATTTTTATCCTTTAATGACTCTGAACAGATGATTCACACTTTTATTACTTCCCATCAGGGGAACTGTGACTATGTGTTGGTGTTAGCCAGGCTGGCCTCTGGTCCACAGAGGTGGTCTGGTCTTTAGTCTTTATCTGGTCCAGGCTGGCCTCTGGTCCACAGAGGTGGTCTGGTCTTTAGTCTTTATCTG